TACACATGAAAAATTCAGAGATATTTTGATCAATATATATCTTCGATTTAATACCACTGTACATATATTTGATAAATCTTAGACATTTACCATCTATACCACTTTTAAACACTTTGGACCACAAACCAGATCGATCGCCAAGCAGCATCAAAGGCTTGTTTAAAGTCAATAAATGCACAATAAAGTTTTTTCTTACTAAAAGAAACAAATTTACACAAAAAATCTAATATCAATATGTTATCTTTTGTACCATATCCTTTTCTAAAGCCAGCTTGGGCTTCAGTAATCAATTATAATTCATCAGAAAAAGTATCCAAACGCTCACATAAAATACTGGTAAATACTTTTCCTAAACAGCTTAATAGTGTTATTGGTCTATAGTTTTCAGGAAGAGGTGGGTCTTCCTTGTTTTTATACATTGGCTTAACGATACCAATAAGCCATTCCTCAGGTACAAAACCAGTATCAAAAATCAAATTGAAAAGGTCAACATATAGTGGCAAAAAACATGATATTGTTGTACTAATATATTCGTTACAGAATTGATCATACCCTGGAGCTTTATTATTTTTCAGTTTGTTAACTGCTTGCAAGATTTCTTCTGCAGAGATTTGACAATTTAAAGGGGAGTTATTATCGAAATTGACATCATTATCATCTACATCACCTTCATCATCTTTAGATTCATTATTTTTTTTTCTTCAAAAAATCGTACATTGCTTTGATATCAACTTCAGTTTTACATCTAGCCTTCGAACTATTTAAAATTCTCCAATATTCCTTAATATCAATTTTCTGTAAATTTTCTAATTTTGACGTTATAGATAAAGAATATTCTTTAATACATTTATCCATTGTTTTCTTGTATTCTTGTATTTCTTAAACACGAAATAGTGAAGTCATCTTAAATTACTTGAAATATATCATTAAATCAATCATTGCTCTCAAAAGAACTGAAGTGCCAATCAATTATTGCTCTCATCAATTGAATTAATGCGAATTATTGATGCTGGCAAACATTAGAAAAATTAAGGCGCGCATCATTTGAATTGATGAGATCAGTAATTGATTTGATGCTAGCAGCAATTAAATTCAGTCATTCTTCTCATCAGTGGAATTTAACTCGAGCCCCAACAATGTGATGGCATTATTAATATTGCTGAAATATTTAAAATTTCTAACCAATTATCACATGTTTTTTTTATCATTTCAATTTACATGCTTTATTTGAATATATCTTTAACACAAGTAACATAAAAAGTATGTTAATTTGGCTGGTATGGCAGAGCTTCCATATTTCCTTATATGCTCAAGCATGCACGTCGTTTAGTCTCCCCCAAAGTAAATTGATTAAAAAAAATTAATACTCCTTCAGGGCATAGGATACTCAAAATCAAAGGTTGTACATATTTTATCATTGACAAAACTATAATTATCACGAAGTTTGCATAGAAAGCCATCTTCGTATATGAATTTTCTCTTAATTTTTACTTTCATATTTATACTGAAATTCATTGTAGGAACACGATACAAAAATGTTATCACTAAAACACCCTTTTAAATTTTCTGTTTATATACACGTTATAATGTATTTCATTAACTTATGATTGATTTATCTTCTTTAAAAAAATTTCAAATACTCTATTAATGTAGTACCGAGAAATTTCAGTCGCCCAGTATGCCTCACTAGAATAAGAACAAAAATATATCTATTCTCCAACTTCTTCTGTGAATAAAATGGCTTTGCATCGTCAAAATTCCGGAGCTTTCAGGGACTTTAGTCCTCTGCGCCATCATCTGGGCTTTGCCCTGAATCTATCAAGGGTATTGAGGCGGCTTGAGACACCCTGTCCGTTTAGAGAATGCATTTTAGCATTTTCTAGCTAAACCACATGTTTCTTGTTAGATAGCGTATTTTCAAATCATTGAAAGTCTCCCCCACCGGTCAATCTGAGCAGTAGGGTGTTAAAACACACTTTCCCAAGCGGTCAGGGAGTCTTCGCATCTTCTTAACTATACATTAGGGTATATGACTATATGTAATCTTTTAAGAATTTTCTCTTGAAAATGGTTAAAAATGGAACGGCGAAGTATTTTTATCATTATTCATTTTTTATCATGTTTTTGCATTGTATATATAGATATTGTACCTCTGAACAGTTTATATGAAATATATATATATATATGAAATATATATATATATATATATATATATATATATATATATATATATATATATATATATATATATATATATATGTTATAAATGTATCCCATGTACTATTATTTTGGGTTGGGTGAATAAACTGAACTTGCACTTGAACTTGGGCGATTATCATTGGGTATTAATGAGAATGAATTATCATTAATACAATTAATTCCACTAACTTTTTGGTTACCCAGATCACGGAATATTTACTGTTTTGAAACTATGATGAATTGACGTTCGACTTTGTTTTTTTACTAACTGACCACACGATTCTTCACACAGGGATTTTTTGGGAAAAATTTAAAGAAAATTCGATGCTGAAAGAATATATATTTCAAACATGCCACTACTCTAAATTTTGAAAGAACTTATAAATCGCAAGTTATCTAGCTTAATGCCGAGCAGCTAATATTGACTGCTGATAATAGCAGTATTGCTTCGGATGCTGCTTTTTCCTTCATTATCAGCAAAAGTGACCATTTAGGTGCTTAGGGAGTAGCTTTTTTCGTAACTTTAACAAGCATTTTGAGAGTATTGCATATGCAATGCTAGCACCCTACCGGCAAATGTTATCTGGTTCTCCTAAAAAATTGAAATGCCCGTAATTCCGTCAAAACTCTTGAAAGCGGAAATTCAAACTTGATCTGTAACTTAGTAAAGGTAGACTCACATACCAAACATCAGTTCAATATTTGCAAGCTGTAGAAAAAGGGCGGAAAATTCAAGTGCCATGGGAAGGACTTACAGAGGGACAGACAGGCAGACAGTTGAGGAAAGAACCGTTTTTACCAGTAGGGGACTAGTTTTTAGCTTAACGAATCTTGCACAGATGTTACATGGAAAAAAAAGATACAAGACATGCTTAGGATACTGCTTGAAATACATTTTCTGAATGAGTGAGAGCATCAGATCAGTTATTCCTCTCATCAGCTGGATTTATATGCGCAACTATTCAATAAAGGAGAGCAATAATTGATTTGATGCGCTTATCAATTGAATCGAAGATAGGCCTATCAATACAGTGGCGGAAAATTTACTCGCAAAGAATCAACTTAGAGATTGTCTTAAAAAAGATTTTTTCCGTTCTTTCATTAAAAGAAAGTATCGTTCATTCCATTATTAATAATAAAAAATGAATTGATGATGTCCTTGATTATTAAAAGATATCTTCAATTATCGACTCTGAGATTAATGTTAATTAGAGTTTATGTTAGACCGGCGCTGTACATGCTGTATTCATGTATATGTCAACATGGGAACAGCTCTGATAACATACATTTTTGCCGTATATCCAATCTTTTCCTTTGATCTTGTGTACTGTCTTGTACATACATACACCATTTATACCAGTACATAAAATAAAATAAACTGTGCAATTAAAAAATTAAACATGATCACAAGCTGTAGCGATTTTCCTGTGTGTTTATAACCTTGTAGTGAATTGACGGTTGAATTAGCTGTACTGATTTGCACGTGTGTGTTCAATAAGTGTAAAAATGTAGTGAGATTCATGTCGAATTTCAATATACTTAAAGTAAAAGATATCAAAAATTCCTATAGATACAGAGAAATCCTAAGGTTAACCTCGGTATATTCTGGTCTTACTTTCTCTTTTTCAAGCCTCTAAATCGGTGAAGCGAGATGAAGGTAAAATTTCAAATGTAGTCAGTTGGCTGGATTTACAAACAAGGGTGTGTGTGTGTGTGTGTTCCTTTAAAGGTGCTTGGACACAGATTTGAAGTTAACATTTTCTCAAGTTTTCTGTATAATTTCATGATTTATATGTTGCTATAGCATTTCATATAAAATATAATAAAAATCTTATTTCATCTCGAAATTATTAAAACTTCGAATTTCTGGATGCGTTGGATTGACACATCCTTGCACTTTCACGTATTTTAATGTTATTCTTAATGCTTAAGAAAAGTGGCAATTTTGTTGTGTATTAATGAAAAATATTAAAACTATAACCCAGAAACTTCAGAGTAGAAATGTTCGAAAGCAAAACCCACTCACAGTATTGTCAGTCTGTGCTCAGTGGTGTGTGCAGAGTTTAACAATTGAACACACCCGGTGAATCGTAAATATTAACAATAACAGAGCTCATGCCCTGTTTATAAAACCAGTTTACGTTTCACGGGTGTGTTCAATTTGTTAAACTCTGTACACATCACAGAGCACGGACTGACAATACTGGTGTGTTGGTTTTGCTTTCGATCATTTCTACTCTGAATTTTCTGGATTATAGATGCAATATTTTTCATTAATACATAACAAGTCGCTTCTTTTCATAAATATTAAGGATAAAGTTAAAATTTGTGTAAGAGCAAAGATGTGTTAATGAAACGCGTCCCGGAATTCGTAGTTCCAATAATTTCCAGATAAAATAAGTTTATAATTATATTTTCGTGTGAAATGCTATTGCAATATATAAGTCGTGATATTATACAGAAAATTTGAGAAAATATTGAGTTCAAATCTGTGTCTAAGCACCTTTAAAATTATAACTTATAATTTTCATAAGTATTTCTTTTTATAATTTAGTGATATTGGTTTAAGAACAATGGTATTTTTTAATTGCATTTTATAATTACTGAGTATGCTAGATTTCATGTGCCAGTTGTGCTGCATCCTATATGCCATTTTCCTGAATAAACAAACACACAAACAAAATCAAAATATGGTATACATTTCTCAAGTACCTAATAACCTATGCCTGACACTGCCCTGTGCTTATTTCTGTACAAGCTTTTCCTGTTCTTCAGGAATGTAAAACAAAAACAGTACTCACTGGAGGTAATCGTAATATAAACTGTTGTTCAAGATCAAACACTGGTTCACTGCTAGACTCTTTCTTTTTTGTTGTCATTTTCTTTCGTGCTTCGTTAACCGGATGCAGATCAAAAATGACTATTTTTAAAATTGGCACTATCCAATACTTAAATCCGGGTTTTGGACGATTTTGCACTTGAAGTTATATTTTTTACTTATCAAGAAGAAAATGAACTATGGAAAGTTTTATATAAAACCGAGGAAGGAAAAGGTATAACAAATACTTCAAAATCGCGTCGGAGCAGATCCCAATCCGTGCTAGGCCTTAAATGCTGCCCCCCCTTTTGTTGAGCACTGTAAGGTCGAGAACTGTTTTCTTTCTTTCTTTTTTTTTTTTTTGAGAGGTTGCCTTCCCACAACTGATGAATTCGTTGCTTCGGAACTGTTTTTAGTGTGTTTTTCTATTTTTTTTCCTAGGTTTTTGGAAAAAGAACCCGATCTTCCCTGTGCAACTTTAAAACACTGAATACTGCAAATAACAATCAGGATGATTTATTTCAGAACAATTTAATGTTTTAAACAAAAATTAGAGAGAGATATTAGTCCTCTCAATACAGTTCAAGAAATGATTTTCATAAAAAAAATCTAAGATATGGTAAATAGACATCCTTGTATAATATCTAATTTCAAATCTGGTGACAATTTGACCCTAATTAAAGTCATATATTGCGTATTTTTGATAAGTTCAGACTAGCTAAAATCAAAAAGATCTTTCTATTTGTTTTATTACTTTATACAAAGATAGAACTTTCCTGTAAATTACACAATTTAAATCAATCGCGTTTTATAGATATCAGAGATTTAAAACAATAACCGATTTATTTACCGACTCCGCATTTAAATATCAGACACAGTTTAAAGTCAATTTAACTACAGAAACGTGGGGATATTCAATTTCAAAATCGGTGAAAATTTTAATTTGAACGTTAATAACAAATATCATGTTGATCTACACTTAATCTCTTATTTTTATTTGTTAGCTCATGCAGATACGCCATATATAGCTTTAAAGAGGTACGATTTTATTAATGATGTATCACTAATTATTGAAAATCGATGTTTTAAAAAAAAGGAGTAGAATATCAGATCACATTGTTACATTTGAGTTTGCATCAGAGCATTATAAAAACAGAAAAGGGGGGGGGGTATGTAACTGTTATCCATCTCCGTAAACATTTGACACTATTTGGAGAGTTGGACTTTTTTTTAATTAGACTTCTAATTTATTCACAAATATGTTCAATATCATATTTTCTATGTATGAGATTATACAAAAATTAAGATAAAGTTTGCTAATGGTCTCGGCAAAGCCTGAATGTTGTGTTAAGCAAGGTGATATCTTTTAACCCATCTCATATCTTTATTAATGGTATTCTTGGTGAACAAACAGGCATTTGTGAGACCGTTAAAATTGGATATTTACATTATGTATTTTGCTTATTAAGTGTGAGGAAAGCTACGGCATTCAAAACACCATAACACGGACAAGGGGTCAAAAGGTTAAAGTATGCGTTTTACTTTGACGTCACAAACGTTCAACGCCGTGGAAGTGCAACGTCATAAGCGAAAATCAAAATTCACGCTCACATCGAACATAAGCTGTTGCAACGGTGTAACTTACCCGATGGATAATACAGGGATTTTGAAATATAAATCACCTTTGAAGTCAAGACAAGGAGTTAAAAAACGTAAATATAAGCACTGAATCATTATTTTTGGAAAGATACAGCTTATAACTGCAACGGTGTGTGCAAACAAATTGAGTAACGCGTGTTAGCACGTTATGAAAATTTGTTTCCACACACCGCTGCAGTTATGAGACTATATCTTTCAAAAAATAATGATTCAATGTTTAAATATATCTTTGTAATTGATACTGTTTTATTGTCTGAACGTAATAATACGTCTAAATTCCTGTCTACTTTGACGTGTTCCATAATTAAATGAATATTTTCTTAATTTGGACTCGAAGTCCAACTGTCTCGTCAAAGTCCAATGCTCTCACTCAAGTCCGATGGTGTACGTGTGCCGACCCACGATGGTTTGATGTCCTTACAGACGCCAAAGTCCTATGGCTCGTTTCCTATTAAGACACGCCAAAGTCCGATGGTGTGGGGGTATCGCCAGCTTCAATCCTACTTTTTCAAACATCTCTGGACCAGGCAAACAGTTTCGTTCTATATAGGGTCCGACAAAACGCATGTTCCCCTCGAACCCAGTCAATAAATGTATAATTTTACTCCACACTAGTGAGACCAACGCTGGAGTACGCCGCTAACGTTTGGAGCCCAGCACCTAAACATAACATCACTAAGCTTGAGGCAGTACAACACAGAGCAGTAAGATTTGCCACTGGAGACTTTCACCGCACCACTAATGTAACATCAACAACTCCAGTGACAAACTCTTAAACAACGACGAGGCACGTACAACACGAGTGGTTGTGTTATACAGGATTGTACACCACCTAGTAAACATTCCAGCTGATCAACACCTACAGCGTGCGTCACTGCGGACCAGAGGCCACAATGCGGTTCCTTATACCACATGTTTACCACTCTTCATTCTTCCCTTAAGCGATAAGGCTTTGGAACCAGCTTCCATGGGGAGATAGTGGAGGCCAAGACACTGGACAGCTTTAATACCCAGCTCTGCAGCTCACTGAACAAAATCGGGTTTTTATCCTGTTTTTAGAGATTTCACTGGCACTGTATATAGACGCTCACCCCCTACACACGGGAAGTATCACATGGCCGTAGGAACCGAGGAGGGGGGCACGGGAGGGCCGTGCCCCCAAATAATTTTGCCGATATATAGATTACTATAGTAAATATGCTTGTGCCCCCTCAATAAAAACGGCTGATTTTTTTTTTTTTTTTTTTTTTTTTTTTTGTTTGTCAAGGAATTTTTGGTAGTTTTTGCTTGTCAGGAAATTTTTGGTACTGCCCCCTCAACTGTCAACTGAAAAATGTATGGCTGTGCCCCCCCCCCCCTCCCCCGAACTGAAATTGCTTCCTACGGGTCTGTATCAAGTACCAGATACAATCTACACCTTCGGACTTGGGCGTGGTAACACCATATCGCACTTTGGCACATCGCACTTCAAATGGCGTGTCACAGCTTCGGACGTTGGCGATTGCACGTGAACCATCAGGATTTGGAATATCAAACCATCGGAAATGGCACAGACAAGGGACTTTGGCAGACCATCGCAGGCTTTGGAGTCCCATCGTACTTGGTCCGAGTCCTACATTTATAAAGATTTAATTTTAACAGGAAACATGCTTGAGAACAATGCAATATTTTCAAACTGCATTAAGAAATCCGTAGAACAGGTTTGAAACAATCGCTCAAATGTGATATAATGGCCCGTTTGTTATATAATATCCCAAATTTGGATATTTTACAGTGCAAAAAATGAAAAAAAAAATTTTGCCATAAATACTGTTACGAAAGCCCATTGAGCTCATTTTCGTAGGTAAAAAAAAATATATTTTTCGCGTTATAACGCGTAACTTTCGCGTTATAATGCGTAACTTTCGCGAATAAACGCGTAACTTTCGCGTTATAACGCGTAACTTTCGCGAATAAACACGTAACTTTCGCGAATAAACGCGTAACTTTCGCGAATAAACGCGAAACTTTCGCGTTATAACGCGAAATTATACTTATATAGTCATGTTACTCAGGAACCTGTGATCTTCACTGACAGATAAAAAACATGAACGCAGAGGGGGACTTCTATGAATTTATAAATGACATTTCTTCAGAAGATGTAAAAGAGAATTGATGCGAGAAATGGATAGATTAGTGTTGGTTTTGCATTTAGTCTCAAAACCCTACTAATTAATTAAATGAATATTCCTTTAAAGATTTTCTTGTTTTTCACTTGTTGAATCCAAGAAATTCTGTAGACTAATTTTTTTCTCAGGAAGATCTCCACTCGTTGCTTTCTTTGAATAAATTGTCAATGTTTTCGTAAGTAATGGTATGCCCAGATGGTGCAACCTTAAAATACAATGTTGTATTTCTTCAGTGAGTCTATCGGAGATGAAATATTTGATACGAATATTTGCCATCCAATTTTCACATTAGGTTACTCATGTGATATGACACAATTGTTCCGTGAAATACAAATTTACCTCATTGTTGTCAATTTTCTGAGATCTTTTATTTCAAATTCTATATAGAGTGTTCAATCTAATTAAAATTAGACTTGTATTTTCGCTCCTCTACTATACGCTTCAACACTTGTATTGAACAGCATTGAGAAAGACAAAATGTGACGGCAAAAAAGAATTAGAAAGAGGAAAGACGCATTCAATGGCGAGAAAACATAAAATTTCAGCTCATGATAATCCAAGTTCAAATAGTCTTTCGTTTTTCACTGTAATGAATAAACTAGATCATTAAAAAGTAAAACAAACTGTAGACTTATGCAAATGTCTCTGTTTTACAGGGAAAGTTTCGCGAAAGTTACGCGTTATAACGCGAAAGTTTCGCGTTTATTCGCGAAAGTTACGCGTTTATTCGCGAAAGTTTCGCGTTATAATGCGAAAGTTACGCGTTTATTCGCGAAAGTTTCGCAACGCGAAAATTATATTTTTTTATCTACGAAAATGAGCTCAATGGGCTTTCGTATACTGTAAATCTGCATAAATATAAACTGAATGAAATAACTTTTGGCAAGCAAGTTTTTCCATAACCCTACAGATTGTGAGATTGATCCCAGAGAAAGTTAGGATCTTCCGAGGGATCGATCTCCTAAATAGTGAGGATACAGAAAAACTTGTTAACCAAAAGATATTGCCCTTTAAGTATTTTGATGCGGATTTTTAATATTTATATTTAAATTTAAAAAATCTTCATTTTTTGCACTATAAATATATATCCCATTTGGGATATTACATCTCATTTGGGCGATTGATCCCAATCTATACAAAGCTCTAATTGTCAATTGTAGAGGCACTGGTAGTCGCACAGGAGAAAAATATTTTTTATGCAAATCAATTTTTTATTTAATATTGTAACTGTGTCATAAAATTAACGGAAGTTTGCACGGAAATAGTTTTTAAAAATCTGTACATGTAGGCCTATATAAACA